TTTTAATCATAAAGTGGGACACGTAAGGCGTTATACCTACGAGATAGAGTTCGCAGTACAGAAAGGTTATTTTCCTATTGATATGGATATGATCTATCCCACAGTCACTGAAAATTATTGACCCTACCCCCACCCCGGGTAGTGGAGTGCAAGATTTTAAGCGGGAGGTTAGGGAAATCCCTTTCGATGACTTGTTGACTCCAGTTGAGTTTAAGATTTTATCTCACCTGATTAAAATACATAGTTATGACCACTTTTGCCTAGTGATATCCAGCTCGATCTATTCAGTAGTGAGGGGTAAAAAGAAATGAGATCAGGCTATGCTCACTGTTCAAGTGCTTGCGAGAAATTCTGAAGTACATCATTTTATCGGGTGAATACCGCGTGACCTACAGCCTCCCGGATCAACCAGTCCCATTTTGATTTTCCTGTCAGAAAAGGAGGACTATGCTGCCTCCGAAGTGTAGGCAGGCAAACAAGTCTTGCAGTTTATTTCAAAAGTTGGCAAAATCAGAATTTGTTAAACCCTGTTCAGTTGAACCATGTACCGTTCATGTTGTGCTTTGTGTGATTCTAACGATTGGGAACAACGGTTTCGCACAGATTTAATGCTCCTTTTTGTCTTATTCAGTTTTTGGTGTTCTTCGGATTACGTATTGTGACGGTTGTGTTTAATTAAGCGGTCCTGATACCGGCAAATGTTGCAAAATATCATCAATGAAACGCGATAATCAAATGTGGCATACTGGATAAAACTGGTGAGACTGATCCGTCTAATAATTTCGATTCCGATATAGTGCAATAGGAAAACTATAAGGCTCATTGCGCACGGTGGATGCATGAATTACAGAGCACGTTAGTTGTTGCCTTACGACTCGTGTTGTACTCAGCGCACGGAACTAACAATGCGTGTGTGTGTGTACACCAAAGGTGGGTTTGAGTGAAATGGAACTTCTGTCCCGATCTTATGCCCTAGCTATATGCATGGGGCTAGGTCAGTTGTAGTATCCTGAATACTAAGCATTCGAAAATCTCATTTATGTGTATACCACAACTGGATATCATACATTCCACCCGTGTCGAAATTCAGACAGACCGGAAGAACTGAAACTGTTGGAAAAATCCCATCTAGTTTGTGAAGGAAGCAAAGCAAAGTTCATTTGTACACGAAACAATACAGTTTCTTCCGAGTTTGCCCATAAGTAGTTATAACACGTTGGGACGATCTTTAATAATGAATGGTACTACGTGCGTGCGTGTGTGTCTGTCTGTTCAGAGGGGCTGAGGGTGGATAGACGCCGATGTTCCTGAGTGTAGATTCACCAAATTGAGTCGCCCCGATCGATTGGGTCTTTTATTTTACTGGCTGAACGGACGCAAATGGAATCGCAAGATGATATGTTTGACACGTGAGACACAGAAGCACATGGGGGCCAAATGTGTGATTGAATATTTTCATAGTGGTGTTATGGTTGCCATTTTCCAGGCTCCTGATTTTGTCGGCATCTGTCTGGCCGATTCAAACTCCAGGGGAAAGTTCAAAGCGATGCTAACGAGTCAACACGAGTTGGATAAATCGAAGTTTAAATGATGTACTCTGCATGAGTGTTCAAAGACTGTTCTTAGGACTCGGTTTTCTTGGGGCTTACAAACTACTTGAGAAGATGATGCATTCTCGGTGGGAACAATGGAATGAGGGAGGTAAAAAGTCGGAAATATCTCACATTTCTGCCCATCGTCTCCCATCTTCGGGGAGGAATGGTGGTGGTCTGCCTGTGCTTTTCACGAGCATCACCTGGCTTAGTTCCGTCGCACATACCCCTGCGATTCAGACAAGAAACCAAGATGAGTGTCTGAGTACAAAAGAGCGCTAATGATCTCACATATGAAAAAGGAAGATCGAGGCGGAAAGTGAAGAGACTACCAGACCGTCTATCACTCAACTACTTAGACACATGGACAGACAAACGAGTGAGACACATAGGCGTGTGCATTCTCCGTTNGGCTTTTTAGGGCACCGCATCTTTTCTCACTAATTTCCCCACTTTTCTCCTCCACACCCCTCCCCCTAACAAACTTGACTTCCCGCACCATCTATCCCGAGGGCAGTAGTCTAAACGGTAGTCAAAGACCGATTTATCATGTAGCTTCTCGTTCCCATTTGCCTTTTCATTCCGACTCTCACTCACCTAATGCAGTCTGTTGGCGTATCATTTGGCAGCCGGCTCATTCTCACATTCCCCTTGAGGGTCATCGACCTTACGGGATATGGAATATTGCGGATTGGTTGTGGTTTGCTCAGTGTGTGTATGTGTATGTGTGCGGTCGCGAGTGAGGGTGTTGGAGGTTGGGGACATGCCGAAGTGGGAGAAATGGATAAGTGAGTTCACTTTTGTTCTTTCCCTCCTCTCTCGTCCCCACCCTGAAAATCAGTTTCGTCTATCCGCCATGGGCAAACGTTATATATTTATATATGTATACATATATACATATCTATACCGAATGGATTTTGGAGCAAAGGTGGGAAATAGGGGTGTTGGTCGAAACCAGATACGAGTGATATTTGTGCCCAAGGCTTGATCCTTCTCACCGTTCGAGCAGTTGTTTCTCTCACTCTGTCTTTTCAGCTGTCTTGTGTACCCGAGGTAGTGGGATTTCGTTACTGTCGTGACAGTTGGTTGATTAACCTGTCGTCTTTCAAATTGAGCTCACTTTGTGTGGTTCAATGCAGTCGAGGTCGCTGGGACTGGAGCGTAGCACGGTTGGTTCCGGGGATCGTGGACGTCAGTTGAAAACTGTGGCGATACACCGTGATATGTGCCCGGACCAAACGGTTGCACATGTGTGTGTTGGGATGTAGCGAACAGTGTCAGTTTGACAACGTTGCCACCACACCGTTTACGCCTGACAGAGTCCGTGCTCACTTTCATATACAAAACCCTATCCGCAATTGATGAGCCGCCCGGACGGTGTTGTAAATCTGCATTCCTTGACAACTGATCAATCTGGTTCTATTATTATCTCACAAAAAGACAGCATATATATATATTACCGCAGTCTGAAGTATTTCTGAAACAGATTACTGTTTTTTTAAGTGTGTGAATCTATCTGTTCGAGTTGTACTTTCATTGAGACGCCGTGAAAGAGAACAAAAGATCTGAGTTGGTAACAAAACCTCAGTTGGCAGAACACCCACTTTCAAAAGGATGTGATGAAATCCATGCATGCGTTTGAAGCCCGGTGATTTCTATGAGCTATTCGTAAACAGACCTTGATGAAAATGATTTAGAAAAGTCTAACCGATAACAGTTGGGAAATAATATTCAGTCTTTGCAGATGCGCAACAGACAGACACAACATAGATTCGTCAACAAACTAAGCTCCGAGAAACCGAGTTTTCTGTTAGAAAAGTTAATTACATCGAGTGAGTAGTACGCCGACGTTTTGCCTCTGGTCCTCTGGATTCAAGGATTAGTACATACATACTGCTGACGACCATTGGTCGAAGTGAAATATGTATGTGATGCTCCCCAGATTTTCAGTCCTCATTACATTGGATTCAGTGCATAACAAACCCAACAGTATATTATTGATTATCGATGGATAGGCGTCCATTACAGTCCACGTTGACCTAGATACATAATGGTTTGAAGAAAGTCAGGTTATGACTCAAAATGAGTACACGAAAGACAGACTTTGTTCGCGCTTGGCTTCTTGATGGGGAGCCTCTGAACACGCCTCAAAAAGGCTGATTTCTGTCAACAGTGGCGCTTGTGCATCTACTCACTTCCTACTCCGATCCTATTTCCCTTCAATTTTAGTACTGCTTTCATCTTTCCCTCCTTTCCTCTTTGGTTTGTCAAATCGACGCCCGAAAGACAAGGACTTAAACCAACGTACAGGCGTGCAATGTTATTAGTTGTAAAAATAGAAGATGACCTGAACTGAACAGAATAGACAAAACCATTGCTCACTCCCTTCGACCAGATACGATAGTGTATTGCATTTTGAAAATATGAATCACCTTCATGGTCTACTGAGTTTATTGTTTTACATTAATACTAGCGTAACTCGGCCTCTGCTTTTTGGATTGAAGTTGTTCTAAACAAACAAAATTCGCTGACGTTACTCGTGATTATAATTCATAGTCAAATCAACATAAAATGTCACAATCCGAAAAAAAGTTATTCAGAAGAAACTTTATTTGCTCGCCAGGGCGTATGTATATTGTGAGAATCAAATTATTCAGACATGGTGAAGTAAACAATTTACTGAATAAATTGATCTTTTCCAACTTATCCAGTTGACTTCACATCTGATGGGGGAAGAAACAAGTTAATGCGAAGTAAAAAAGTTGTGTTATTATTGTAATACGACGTTAGTCAAACGGCATGTTATTATTGCTGTGCCCCGGAGGTCGCGTGTTTGATTTCAACCATTGCCGGTCCACTTCCCCTTTTTTATTATATCCATTGGCAATCTGAACATGTCATTTCACAAATCTGATGAATGTCTCAGAGACCATCGGGCATGTTCCGGCATGAAAGGGATCGATTCACTTTGAGCCACTGGAACGCAAGGTAATTTTATTTTTGCTATAATCTCCAGCATTATGCTTCACTGGGATCATCCGATCTTTCGGTTGGTAATTCATTGGCCCTTCACTGGATGTCAAATATAGGTCCATTTCCTCAACATTTTTGACGGGCTGATACAGTCCTGGAACCTAGGTCATGAAAAGTACGTGATAGTGATGAAAAAGTTATCTGGCATTGGTCATTATCGGTTTTAATTGTATTATATTTATCTTTCATGTCTATCTTAACTTATTTTTCAAGTTTTAACTTTTAAATTCCCCTCCTGCCTCACCACCAGATGCTACTCCACCACTGTCCCCGAACCCAAAATCCATGACACCCGTTCACTCAGCCGTACGACGAACACAGTCACCGAACAGCACACACCGAATCGATTGCTGCTCCAGTCCGATCACAGATCGGATGAACGACGGGCCTAGACCTACACTCACTCAGCACCCATTCTCATTTCCCATTGGCGACAGATCAGAGTCTGTCTCTTTGTTTGCACCGGTTTCATTCCCATTCTCAAGTCCACTGGATTTGAGAGGCCCAGGCAGAACTGTTTCGTTTTGCAATCCGGAAAACGATTCGGTTGATACACAAACCATAAACTCTCCACCAATAATCAGTTCAAAAGAACTTCGTTTGGGACGAAGCAATGCGTAAGTTTCGTATGGTGCGTTTGACGATTGCTTCGTGCAATCCAATTTGTGATGTTTTCTAGGTCATCACTGTTTGAATCAGAAGAACGAATGCACACAGATTTATGAATGTGCGTATGTATGTATGTATGTATGTATGTATGTATGTATGTGTGTGTGTATTAAACTACCTTATTTTACTTCCCTATTTATTATAAACTAATATTTCGATGAGTTTTGTAACCCGTGACGCAAATGTTGATGCGACCAGTTGAAACCGATGAAAGTTGGTACCTGTCAGATCGCTTCCCAGTTGTAAACGGATAGCACTGTCTTTTCAGAACCTCCCAGTAGTCCACAACGTATTCTCATTGATTTGGCACATTTCAATATAATCAGTTTAGCAGTTTTTCCGTTGGGTCATCAATATCCATAGGCCACATAGGTATTATGCAACCGCATTATCCACACAGAAAGTGAACAGCCTATCCAATCGTACGTAATGTAATTCTGCTTAATGTTGCTACCCTAGTGTGAAATACCTTTCGTCAGAATTTCTGCATAAATAGCGGGATAAATCGCTTAATAAAAGGTGATTTCTTGTGGCCTAAACACTAATTCCTGAAACCAAGCGATGCACAAGTGCTTTCGTAGCGAATTCTATTGACAAACAGACTTTAGAAAATCTCCCTTCAAGTCAATGCCACCGGCGCGCATTCTATTTGCGTTTGTTGAATTGAAGTTCCTCTTTGCTATGTTCATAAGATCGGAACTTAAGGTGCGTTCTCCACCATTTACCGCTCTTTAATTTCAGGTCCTCAAATCAAGCCAATACATGCAACATGTCTTCCTCGTTTATCACCAACGCGAATACCCCCAATGTAACCATCACAGACGCCAGCAATAGCAGCGGCAACAACAACAATTCTGTCTCTCCCTCCTCTTCATCCTCCTCCGTCTCATCATCCGCATCCGTATTGTCGTGTGACGAAACAAAAAGTCCGACCCGATCGGTGACCGCTAAATCCAAATCAGCGGTCATTGTTCGTGGCATCGCGTGTGGCGCAGACAACAACATATCGACAGATCGCTCGGCGGTTTGGTGTCATTCGTCTCGTGGTGGCGGCCGAGGTTCGAAATCTGATCAAGACATTGTGGAGGACGCCACAATGGTGGTGATGCCAACCCACTACGTCAGTCGTGGTTGCGGTGCACAGCAGTTGGCCGCGGTTCGGTGTCATTTAGAGACACGCGATTTGTGGGAAAAGTTCAACGAGCTAGGCACCGAGATGATTATTACAAAATCGGGAAGGTAAATTGAACACTATTCAGGTTTTCTTTCACAAGTGCGAGTTCATGTTTTTAATTCTTTCACCGCCAAATTTGTTCGTAAGTGTCGAACTCTATGAAAGATGTTGAACCAGTTCCCCAAAATGGATAAAGATCACACCCGACCGCAACTTCATCTATAATGAGCTGATTTTGAAATAGAATGTCCAAGCATACTGGTAGAAAACAGTGGTCGCCGATAAAGATGATCGCCTTATATTATTTATGGGTGACTTGCATCGTGTTTGGTTTGATATCCTAATTCAGCTATTTCAATTGTGGTGGCTCGGTGGTAACGTCACCAAATTATCACCTCGGGGAACGCGTGTTCGAATCCCACCACCACTCCAGCCCTTTGATTGGCCGCTTCCCCTCTCCTAAAAATTGTATCACTGTGTATTCAATAAAAAGAAGTAAAATGAAAAAAACCAAAAATCAAACAGATATCTCCGTTGCACAGTCACATTTAACCCTCTCTAATTAAAATAAAAATCCTCAATTATCAGGTTAACAATGACAGTGCAACTGGATAAGCCTTTTCCAGATTAAAAAAACTATATGTAGTCAGCGTTTTGTGGGATCGAACCATCGAAACAAGGTTGTCCTTTTTTGAAAAGGGAAATTCGTGAATTCCACTGACAATATTCTATAAATCAAGCGCTATTTTCCATCCTAATTCATTGCAGTGTATATTCCTAGGCAATCTTTTGTCGTTCGGGGGTAAACTTGTATTACCATTTTCACCGCAAAACAGCAAACTCGATCGGTTGAACATTTACAACAACCGTATGCGAAATACATTGCTATGGCTTCTCAAAAAATTGACCATTTCCATGATGATGCACCGTGACACGTCTTGAAGAATGTCAATATGAAGTTTAGAAAACTGACATCTGATAGCCCCGATCTCAACTTACATCTATGATCACAGTTTGGGAGCCGGAATCGGGTGCACAATTGAAATATGTACATCTTGAAATTATTTAACTGGATACTCAAAGGCTTGACGAGGTTCTAAAGAACCAAGGATGACAAATAGGTTATGTATCCATGTACAGTGTACATGTGTTTGCAAAGGAATACCGTTTACTGGTAATTCCAGAGCCTATGGGTTTTACCTCGCGGCCCTGCTCAATAGAACAATATGGTGAATTTTTTAATGAACTCTTTTTTATTATTATCGTTTTGTGACGAAAAATCTCAATTGTTTGTTCATAAGTAGCCCACAGAGGTATAAATGTAACAAACACCATGATTTTCTGCCATGGTACGTATTAAATTTGTAAAATAAGATAACTCATCGGCAGCGAAACCTCAAACGAATTTAGGGTAAATCTATAAGTAATACTTTTTCCTTTTTCGGCTATATGTCGGACTGTTGTTTTTATTCTGTACTGACTTGGTCGACCTGTGCTAATCGACTAGTATTTATATTTATTACTGTTTTACAAAAGGGTAACAAAAATTAGATTTGCAGTCAATCTTCTCTCCCTCCTATCCCGTCCACTTCTTTGTCTCTGTCTTAAATNATATTTAGTCCTCATGGACATTGTGCCTGTAGATTGCAAACGCTATCGGTATGCGTATCATCGTTCCAGTTGGTTGGTTGCCGGCAAAGCAGATCCCGAATTGCACCTGCGTCATTATGTACATCCGGACTCACCGTTTACGGGGGAGCAATTGATCAAACAGACAGTTTCATTTGAGAAACTCAAATTGACCAACAATGTCCTCGATCGCCATGGTTATGTGAGTCGGGAATTATCAGTTTTATTGTGTGCGCACACAGCTGATTAGAAGCATAAATGAATAGGTCGAATTTAGTTCTGTAGTGTTTTCACTTTTTATTTTGATCAGGCTAAGATAGCTGGAATTTGCAATCACAGAGTCCTATCCACTATAAGAGATAGGTATTTCTACGACCTACCTAAACAGCGGTGACATGTGCCCTTCTGTAGAGGTAATTCCAAAAATTAGAATTGTTTTTTTACCCTTTTTGATAAACAAAATATTCAGAATAATGCATTATCTGTTTTCCGGAACAGGAACCAAATTAGTGTCTATAATGAGCTTTTTGTAACGAAGCACCTTTTGGCCACAGATGTACGCTTTTATGGTGCGAAACAGCTAGTTTTATAACTCGTCAATAGGGCATCTTCATTGTGACTGTGACGACTCGAGCTCGGATATGTGAGGTTGAGAATCCCCAAGATTCCATTCAAACCACCTGAGCTGACACCGTCGCTTGGTTTCACGTAACTAGGTACAGCACGTGGTCTATTCCAATTCGTGGTCAAACCTTTCGTTTCGCTACGTCAATAAAAAATCGCCTATTTGGTACACACTTTTCGGTAGTGGTCTACGATTTTGATTAAATAAGTTTCTGTTTTATACGTATTTGCAGTTTTCTTCCATTTTATAGACACAATTTGTAAAAGTTCTTTGACAATCATATATTCTTGTTCTCTAGATACGTTGTTCACAACACACTTATTCTTCAAATAAACTGACGTACAGTATAGATGTATTTGTCTCTTGTTTTTTATGCCCAGTTTCACGACATGGGGCCAGTTCTTCTTAGTGGGAAATTTGAATGCATCTACATCAAAAGTGGCTAGCTTAGATTTCAAATCATTGGCTTTTCAAAAATTAAATCACACATACACTCTTTTTCACATGGTAAGAAGATAATTGATATTCTACGTTTGTTTACAGTTCATCTTTCACTGCGCGATACAAAGACGCTCATTACTGGTGTGATTTATTGTCTTTCACTCTTCATCATCACAATTATTTTCGGTACCCTCAGCAAGCAATAAACCCTAGTTTCACTCTCATTGGAGTTCACCAAAAGTATACCTAAATTGGCCCATCTAGAGTTTGAACCTCGAACCTCTTGCATGAAATGCATGCATATTATTGTGCTAACTCATGTAATTTGATATAATAATTCATTTTGGCGTGGCAGATACGAACGAAGAGATTCTCGGTCAACTAGTATTGAAATCCTTCTTGCAAATCCACTCTTCCATGCAGATTTCGGGAAACATATCCAATGAAACATGCTAACCTAGAGTTTTCATTTACACCCAACCCAAATTTACTTTTAAGAGCTCTTAAGTTACATTAGCTAGGTTTTCCTACAACTACCCCGTTGGTAAAACAAATGTGACCATCTCGAAAACCATTTCAGGGAAATGTCGACGAAGTCAATGTGCTCACCTTTGAATGAACCGAAATAAACAAAGTTAGCGTGATGTTATTGCAAAGACAAATATACATGTCGATCAAGAATTGGTGCATGATCCGGAAGAACTGGTGTTTAAAATCCGACATTCCGGGGGGTTTTTATCCTCAATTATTTCGACTTATTATGTCGGCAAAATGGTTAAAGATAACGCATCTCACCAAAATTTGGTGTTGAGAGTTATTCTGCCAATGGACACAATGCACCAAGTTAAATAATTATTTATCACGGTTAGTGGATACACGCCAGACTTAATCTCTCTGATCACCGACAAAGAGCACTGGGCAACTGTTTTGTCCTGATTAAGACTCACCAACAGTGTACACATGCTGTGCGTCCTTACTAGGACTTGAGCCTCGAACCTGCGGGTCGTGAACTGAAAGCCTGAGCTACACGATCGACGGTCAACATCTTGACCGAATGACTCACGCACCAGGCTCTAAACATGACAATGTAAACAAACTTGATCACTTTGAATGAGAACTGTAATCTATTCCCTAGTACACAGAACAGGAATCTGGTACCAGTTATTTTCACGGTCCATATGGTTTTCATCCATCGTAGATGTTTACATATTCACAAGAACGAAGTACCACCGTTCACAGCATCCATCTTTACTTGTACAGATCATACTGAACTCGATGCACAAATACCAGCCTCGAGTGCATTTGGTGCGACGTTCGGCCGTGGATGCGTTGACCACATTGCCAAGTAAATCACTGGACAGTTTACGTCCGGACGAGATCAAGACATTTGAATTCGCCGAGACAGTGTTCATTGCTGTCACCGCCTATCAGAACCAGTTGGTAAGTGATTCGTTCTGAACTCATTTGAGCATAACAGTCAAGTTCGAAATGTCTACCATTGGACTGGGAGGAGCCTTGAGGGGGTGGGGTGGGGTTGAACAGGTTCGTAACGAGGAGTAGGGTGATGAGTTGTGTCACAGGGTGTTTTCAGAGTAAAACATACTGACCAACCGCACGGTAGTCTAGTAGGTCCATTAGTTTCCAAGTAAGAGCCGGGGTGGTTGAAATAATTCATAGTTTCGAACATGATCATGGCAGCGGTAGCCGCATTTTAAACTCTATATTTTATATTGTATTCGCCATGAATACGATGCAGTCCATTCATATGCAGTTTTTCAACATAGGTGCGTAATCTCTAACGTTGTAATTAGCTGAAGACCACTTTCAGCTTTCGATTCAAGAAATACGATCCAACAGACTCAGTCGAGAAGGCGGTTCTCGTACATATCCCAGAAAGAAGAGCGGATTTTCGTCTGTAAATAAAAGTGGCTTTTGAGAGGGAGTAGCAATTTTTGCTTCAGAGGTTAATACGGTTAAAAAATGAGCAAATAGACCATAACATCGCCTCAAACTTATGCTTGCATACCAAAATTGTCAATCTTCTGAAGTGGAAACCGCTCCACTAACCCCTCGAAGAGTACACAAGTATTTCAAGTATTCTTCCAACCAGCCTCGTACTATATCCCGGGATTATTTGAAGAGAAACCAAACTAGGCTTATGAAAAGCATGTATGTGGATTGTGAAAAGTTCATAAGCCTCGGTGGGATTCGAACCCACGCATGGATGCGGCTTACGCTTTGAGCGCATTTGCTCCACCAGCTGAGCTACGAGGCCACACCGATAGCACTGATCTTTTCACATTCGAATTTACCCATCCAACTTACAGAGGTGTGTGGCATCCACCAGTTATGAAAAGCAATCAAATTCCAACACGAACCAGGTTGGTTTAATCTATCATGCATAGCTTGTCTGAGGATTTCAAATCGCTACTTTGCACCTCCGTCGGAACAGTGATACACATGAATCATTATTATATTGCACATCTGTCAGAGTTCAGATGGTGTGGAAAAATAAATCTGAGTCAACAGAAACAGCTATGGTTCTTGTGTAGATATTCGGATTCACCAGTAGGATATGCTGTCGATCAAGTAGTTTGCTTTCCAGTTTGTTCCGTTCAAAGAGAATACTAGAAAGTTCCGTTATCCATTTAGATTTGTCGGAATTAGACAATTGAGGTATTTTCGATGGGAGTCGAGTTGAGAAAATGGTCACTCCAGATTTTAAAGGTTGTATTGAAATATCCAGGCATTGGTATGGCACGTGCCTTTTGAAAAACAGCCTTGTCAGACCGGATTTCTTGGCACTCGGATACTTTTGTTGAGTCACAATGGGAAGAAAGTTACTAAGTGCTTATGGGCACGCGATACCTAGACAGGGAGCTCCCTGGGGCACTGTTGCTCAGCCCATTCCATACTACTTATAGAAAATGAATAAGTGGACTTGTATATTGCATTTAGGAATCGTAAGTCATGACTGTGCTAGGCTCAACACCGAAGCTCAACGTGAGACCGAGGAACTGAATCGGATCTTCTATGTGCCACGGGTGTTCACAGAATGTCTAATGTCGATTTAGAAAAAAACTATTCACACAGAAATTTCTTTTGTCCTCTCACCCTCTCCACCACTTTAGCCGCTAGCTTTATCCCATTCACTTGCTTCACTTGTGCACCTCTGTCATCGTTATAAATTGGACTGTAATCGGTCAATCAGATGTGTGTGCTATTATCCCCTTACATATGGGACCGTCTGATGCAAAATATTGATAAGAAATTTCTTCGAAAACACCTTTTTCCACATTGTCTAAGTATAAAACCGATATAGATTTTTTCGGATCCCCCAATGAGTTGTTTTGAACCCTCAGTTTTGATAATTTTTTCGTCAAATCAACTCTAACTTGTCTCATCAATTAGTTCTGTTTTATGTGACACTAGAAGTTTAAGGATCGAATAGCGACGTGAAATAGAAAGAGTTCATCGTATCAATCTCCCATTTGTCCTGTGAGCATGCAATTCACGATTCTGTTGAATATAGTCAACAGGCTGCTTCCCTACCCCNCCCCCCCACGGTCCGAACTGTATGCGTGAACACATTCGGTGGTGAAACACGTCAGAATCTTTTCGTCTCATTCCGTCTGACGTGTGACCACTTAAACCGTCATTCCCGGGGACTGAGTCAAACTCCCACGAGAATCACACCTGGTCCCACACAGGTACACGAGAGAAAAAATGCAAACTTGAGGACAAACTGGTCTAAATCAAGTTGACAGCATCCGTCTACCTACACGATACCGTTTTTCCCCTTTCCTCACTAAGATATTGTACCAATAGTCGATGAGAGTGCAAATCTCGGGGCTACACAGAGCGTAATGGATTTGATTGCTCACGTCCAAATTTGTTTGCTTATTAGTTGTTGTTGCTGTTTTTATCTTGACAAGCATTGCTCGTCCATTCATTCACATTGAATGTGTCTGAATTAATTGCAGATTACGAAGCTAAAAATCGATTGCAATCCTTTTGCCAAGGGATTTCGTGACTCGTCACGTCTCACTGAATTCGAACGGTAAGTGATCGGCAAATTATTTTCAATCTCTTTTGATGAATGTGAGACAACAACTTCATTTTTTTTTTCTCGTTAATTATTTGTTCGTGAACTCGTTCGAATACAAAGTTGTTGTTTGATCATTTAAAGAAATGTTCTCCATAATACAACCGTACCTATCTGCTGTTTAGGAATGCACATACAAACCTCTTATAGTGACTGCTATGTCTCCTGAAATTACATTACGGGTTCCTGTATGCAACTCTCCGTCGAAAAGGTGACATCATATGTTTGGTGCGAGAAACAACCAGGCGTACTGTAGTTAGGCTGATCCTAGTCGTATCAGTGAGATAGGAAAAATTCATATTGGACGCACAGATTTTGTAGCACATTTCCAAAGATCTCAAACACAAGAATAAACATAAATACGGTGCTTTCAAGTATCGATTATCTAAGCGTCTGTGTCTGTTGTCCAAAAAGCTGTGCACAATCAGTTTGCTGATGGCGCTAGTCTAACATCATCCGGAGGTTTTTAACACATGAGAGAACTTAGTACCCTCAAACCTACCGGTGTTAGTGATCGAAATTTTCCTCTCCATCGGGTTTAACCTTCATGATTACTCGGAGGAAGAAGAATCTATCGAATTTCCCTCTCAGTCTGGAAAGGTTTATTAGTTTAAGCATGATTATACCACTTTCTCTCACTCTCCTTGTTCTCACGAGGACACGGTACAGAGTGCACAGCTATTTCACAGAAAATTCAAGTGAAAGAAACCTAATACGAACAGATTTGTACCAGATTACACTTTTACCATCGCACAACATGTACGTGAATTGTTCAGCTGTTTGTGCCCCTTGTCTAAAATCACATGCAGCTGGTTAATTTTGTGTTCATGCCTGAGGATCATTTTGACTTGCAAAACGTGTCGTTTCCCAAGCACTTGCTTTCCCTCCCGTAACTTGGTTCAGATACGAGAAGAAACTGCAATCATAAAATTTTAAATAGGTTAAAGTTCCTTTTTGATTCGCAATTTATATGTATTCAGTTGTGTGTGTAAATGAGTGACCGAATCGTTCGTCATGCGAAAACACTCCCTGACTGAATACATATAAATTGCGAATCAAAAAGGAACTTTAA